AAAAAAAAAAAACAGTACTGGGTCGTTCATTATATTATACTAATATTAGAGTTTTCTGTATTCTATAATATCTACTAACTGGTTGTCTGATAATCTTAATGTATTTATCATTTTCGTGATTGTACAATGTTGGATGAAAGGTATGATACTGGATTTGAGATCTATATATGGCATTTATTTATAATTGATTATTTTAAATAACAAGCGTACAAAAAATTGAAATTATCCGCGGATGCGAATTTCCATTTTTGAAGTGTATAGTTATTGTAACATTTACTTATTGCAAATCTTTATTTATCAGTGTAATGTAAGACAAAACAATTTGAGTATTTCAAATTATTTGACTTTGAGATTTTTGATCATATGAAAAATCATATGTCCAATGATTATGTTAATCTATATTTTTACTATGTAAATATATATAAACAAATTTACAATACAATTATATATATAATACACACACATACACACACACACACACACACACAATTAAGTGAAAATTTTTGGTCAATTTTTTCATTTTTTTTCTTTTTTTATAAAGAATAAGATCAAGTTGAAAGTAGTTTGAAAAATTTTCATAATAATTTGATAATCTATAAGATTTTACTTTGATTACAGAATATTTGAAACTGCAAACATAATAGTTCTTATTTTTAGTTAATATACATTTTATAAAAATGTTACAGTTATGTTAATATAATTTAGAAATGATCATTAAATTTAAAATGAAATAGACTACTACTTTCAACAAATGTCTAACTATTAATAAGTCGTTGCCTTACTACATTTTATGATTTGTAACTCATATAGAAGAGGTGTCAAAAAGTGAAAAATATTCTTTATATAATCATGTATGATAAGCTTAATGATATTTAAGTGATGACAGTAGTATCAGAAAGCAAGGAATATGTCATATGAAAATTTCTTGTTCTAATTAATTTTTTATCAGTGTTTAGAAATGAATAACAATTTTATTAAATGTTACATTTTTTAAATGTTGCATTTAAAACTTAGAAATTGAACAGGAGGTTGTGTTATTTGTTCATTTTGATAGATAGTGATAATTAAACTTTTAATTTTTATATTAAGATCTTTTTACTTAATTTTTATATCAAGATCTCTTTTTATTTTTTTGTGCAAAAGAATCCTAATATTTTATTAAGAGAATAAAACTAAGCCTTATCCATGTTTTCCTTGACAATAGTCTAGGAAAACTGTAGCTAATATTACTTCATTAAGGTCTTTTACACTTAGTCTATTTCCTAAACTTTGTTTTCAAATAGTTGTTTGTAGTAATTGTCAATCAGTATCTTTAAATTGTTTCAAAAATCGAATTTTTTCTTATTCTATTTTAGTTAATTCTAAGAAAGGCAAGTTACACTGACATTTAAATATTGTCTTAATTTTAAGTTTTAAAAAGAGGAAAATTAATATATAAGATAGGAAATGGTATAGATAATATATTTAAGATTTAGTTATTCATTTACTTATCGAAAATAGTATTAATAATTGGTATAACTAAACATATTACTAAATATATTATTTTAAAAAATAAAAAAAATAAATTTTTCATTAATTAGATCAATGCTAATGTTATTTAATTAATAATAATTAATAAATATAAAAAACTGCATAAAAATTGAAGCTTAACGCTTAATGTTAATCTGGCTTTCATCTGAACATAAATATTAACAATTATAATATATATATTATATAAATTTGAAATTTATATAATTTAATTATATAAATAATAAAAACAAATAGTTTACATTTAATTTTATGTTAATTAATATTTATTAGTATATTTTAATTTGATCAAAAGATATTTACATTATAGAATTTAAACAACCAGTTGGTATGTTTCTAAACAACTCAAAATTTGTATTCATTTGATATATTAGCAATATTTTAATAAAAATAATAGATTAATACTTGATTTAAATGTGATACAAGGACACTGGGATCGGTTACGCGAAAAGAAAAATATTTGTAGATAATTTTCAATAATAAAGAAGTAATTATAAATATATTATATAGCAATATTAACATGCCAAATATATTGCTGCCAATTTTCAAAAATATAATTATTTTACAGTCGCAAAAGGAGTAGAAGAATTAAATACAGACAATATATGAAATCTAAAATAAGATTTTTCATGAAAACAAATTCGGAGATCCCAATTTATTTAAAATTCTGTATAAAATATTTTGATATTTTAAAAAGATTTTAAGTAAAAATTTAAAATAAAAGAGGTACGATTTTTTTTAAAAATATAACTTAGAACTATTAAATTGTTATAACATTAACTCCAAAATTTAAAAGCTGTATTAAAATAAGTGTTATATTTCTGAAAATATTTCGATAAACTTTCTCGTTTTAGCAGATTGGAAAAGGTAATATTTCCTATTAACAAAATAAATAACGTGTAAAAAGTGAAATAAGTAAAGTTATAATTTGTGATTTTTTCACAAATTATCATTTTGTAGCATGAACATGTGAAACTTGTGGTATTTAATTAACTAAGAAAAAAATTATTAAAATGTTGCTTAGATAAAAATTTGAATGTTAATATTATTATTAAATTTCTAACTATTTTTATTATACAGCGTATATATGATAATATTAAAAATTTAGAAGACGGGTACGTAATTTGAAATAATTCCAATATTTAATTATATGATTTTATATATCTAAGTTTAGAAGATATGCAGTAAGTGAATAACTAGCTATTTACGTTAGTGTAAGAAAAAAATTGAAGTACATAATTAAAATGATCGTTTTATAATATAACAAACAAAATAAATCTGATATTGAAGAAAATTTTGTAATTTATTAGGAAGTCTATTTAAGTAGTATTAAATAGTGATATTTATTAATAATGATTAAAAATTGTGTCAATAAAGAATAACATTTGTACATAGACGAGATATATACTGTGATTTGTATAAATACTGCATACTTCGGGGTTCTAAAATTTTCTTATCATTTTAGTGTCATTTCCATTATTACCGATTCAGCGTAAAATTATTTCGCCATTGACATTGACTAACTAGTATAGATTGGACATGCTTTTTCGTGTCCCATGTTACAAACAAACTATATGAGTAGACCTCATATATAATATATTTTTTGTTCCACGATTTCGAGATCTTTGGAATTCCCTTACCATTTTCGTGTCACATTCTGTCATATCGATTTAGACAGGCTTTGCACCGCAGCACTACTAGTGATGAGAATTAAAATGAAAAAATATGAACAGTGTTGTCACATCTGCTTCGAGTTATTTATTGAATTGAATGTGGTGATACTTTATCAATGAAGGAATATAATGATTTAAAACAGCGATTGATGGAAATTGGGATGAAAAATTTATTATATATTTGATTATTCACATCTATTTAAAGGTATTAGAAAAAACTGATTGAAATATATTTTTTAAGAATATAATTAGATATGACGTTTTTTATTTATTTTAGTGTGAAATTTCAGAATCTAAATGAATCTTGCAAACTTGATTTTATAAAAGCTTGGAAGTATCAAAAAAATGTTTTTATAAATATTGTTTAGTATAAAGTTATATTATATGATGTAAATTATTTTTTGCAGATCGTTCGTTTTCAAAATTTCGGAGTCATTTGTTCAAGACGAATTCAGTGACTTGTATACAGAATGATTTGTTTTTACAACTCTGTTAAAAATTAATTATTGTTTAATGTTCAGTGGCCAAAATGGCCAAAAAAAAAATCGTACAGCTAGTTTTGAGGGCTCATTGTAAAGAGAAGATTTCAATTTTTAAGATCATGATTGATTTGATCATGAAAAAAAATTGTTCAAAGATGAAAAAAGTTCTCTTCGGCGAAATGTTTGAATTTTTACAATTTTTGAGAGGAAAAGTTTATTCTTACTTTTACATTTACTGCACGATGTAAAAATAAATATCATTGAATGAAACAAACTCAATATTGTTTGGAGACTCTTTGAAATAAAATCAAGTTAATTCTACAATTTGCTTTCACGAAATTATAAAGTATTGACAATTTTTTATTTAGTGTTTGAATGTTTTTGTTCTTTTTTAAGAATGTCTCACGAATTTTATATATTTGATTTAGACCAGAGTTTTTATTTTTTATTCCACGTTAATATTTCGTGTGAAACGCGCGCGTATTGAATTTAAATTAGTTAAAGATTACAGCGCCACTACACGGTGAAATATGCAATATACTTTCTACGATTCTCGAACGTAATCGATATTTCTCATGATCGATTTTTAAGTGGGAAACATGACAGAAAGAAGCAAACCTGACCTGTAGAAAAGGATATGTTATCCAGAAGTTCTCAGAAAAAATTTAAATTAATAGTTAGATTTGTGTTTATATCATGAATTTTTACGTTTTTGGCTTCAACTCAAGGTAAAATTTAACCAAATAATTGTTACATATAATTTCCAACAATTAAAAAAATAGTAATATATTAAACAGAATATAAACGTTTAAATAGAACATACTATGCTAAAAATTATTTATAATTTGCGATTAACATTACGGTAACGAAATCATGTAGTGCTTTGAAACTTTTTACGC